GGACCATTTACCTTGGAGAAAATGTTCATTTTGAAGTCACTATAAATCTTTTCCTTGCTTTGGCCTTTTTGCTATTGCAAGTCAGGAGAAGCTGACTTATAACACACATCTAAATTGAAAGGGTTGAAGTTCAAGTTACTACTAGAACAGTTCTTCAAATTTTATTTGGCATTTATGTCGAAAATTCATGTGTTTGTGTGTATATACATGTATATGCATACACTAATAAAGACACACATATGGATAAGCCAGTGCAAAAACCCATTTTAAAAGTACCTTGAAATAAAATGTCCATTCCTTCCTAGTCCCATGTAAGAGAAGTGCAACTTTCCAGTGGCAGTGGAGAGTGAATAAAATTCTGTGTAATTTAACATAAACATGAATGAAAGTAATCTTTTAAAGTCATAAAGAAAACTAGTTTATACCTTCAGTAGAGTTTCTCTGTTATCTTATGAGTGTGGCTACTGATGGAAGCATCTGTGTAAATTAGTAAAACACACAAGTCATAAAGAAAATTAGTTTATACCTTCAGTAGTTTCTCTGTTATCTTATGAGTGTGGCTACTGATGGAAGCATCTGTGTCTACACACATATATGTAAAAATATGCACTTGCAAAAGTATTGTCTCTTTTCCCATTTTGAAATACCATAATATTTGATTTAAAATATATATTTGAATCATAACAATTACCACTCAGTGTTATCTTTAAAGAAATTAACGGGTCAACTTTATTAAGCATAGTATGGAAGGGTAATACATACCAGATATTTAAAGAAGAATAATGAACTGCTAAGGAGCTCCCTTCTCTTCTCCCCAGTGTCTGTGTAGCTGCCACATCAGGGAACAGCAGCTCACATATTTTCAGATATAGGAAATAGCTCTCAGGCTTTTCAAATAAAGTTGTTCCCTGTCTTGCATGCAGGCCAGAGCCTCTACATTGAATAAATCATCAGAAGTGTATTCCAGTTCTTTTAAAGAAGGTACAGCAGTGCTCCCTATTTTTTATTGATTGCATTTGTAGGGGAAAATTGAATCCATTCCTTGTCAAGGCCCCTAAACCTCATATCATAAAAAAGAAGGAAAAAATGAAAAGATGGATGGAGTTCAGTGAAATTAGCCACAAAGAATGATCTTTCATATTGTGTGATGGTGAATTTTATTTTTTCATCTTGCTTGTAGCATGTGAAAGGTAGCAGCTGATGCACTCTGAAGTAGTAATCTTCAAAGACTTCTTTAGAAGAACTGAAAAAAAGCTTATTGGAGAGTTTTCTCCAACTAGATTTTCTGCCAATTATCAGTCAAAAGCTCTTTCCTGTATGTAAGTTAACTCAAAGGAAGACAAATAGATACACAGAACTGTAACTGTAACACCTCTAAACATTTTATTTTAGTAAAATGCTTTTTTTTTTTCCCAAACAGAAAATAAATTTTCACTACATAGATAAGGTTAATATAAACTATTTCTCCAAGAAGGGTATTCTGACAGGTGCTATGTTCTCTTGTATGAGCTAGTGAAAGTACCACAGCTTTGATTTTTTTTTGTGCCAATTCAGAATCAGGATATTTTATAAGGAACCATTTGGAGAATAGTTTTTTGCTCATTGGGACTGGGTTTTCTTGCTTTTCTTTGGGAAGTTTCAAATCCATTGCTCTAGGCTTTAAACCAGAACTCAGAGGTATTGGTTTGAATTTGATATTACCAGTGATATTGCATTCCAAAAAAATAAAAAAGGGAAAAAAAAGGACTTGATTTGTAGCTCATTTTTTTAAGTTCAGGGTGTATGCTTTAGCAGAAGGAAAACATTAATAGAAGCTGTGGAAAAACACTTAGAAAAATAAACTATTCAAACTAAAATTCCTACATTTTCCATCATTTACTGATTACTGGCTTGGTTAACACAGATATGGGTGCATTCTATATCAAATATACTTCTAGATAGAATGAAAAAACCCAACCAAAAAAACAACCAGAAAACAAAAATAAAAAAACACTCCAGGAATTATTATTTTTTAATAATCATGTAATCATTTACTTGATTATCAGTCCCACCAAATAAACTGTTTCTGTTCCAAACACAATTTTTTTTTGTCATAATGAAAAAGTGAATTAAGAAGAAGGTGAGCCTGTCATGTGTTATGGTTTATTACCATATGAGAAATTAGAACTTGGTCACTTAACTGGGAATTTCTGGGGTGCAAAAATTTCTGCAATATTTCAGAATAGGAATATATTGCAAACTGTTAGGAGCCTTTTCCCAAATTTATTACAGTTTCCTTCTGTTAAGATGCTCTGTTCTTATTGGTTTTCTTGAATTCCACATTTTTTTTTAATTCCAGCTTCATGTCTTGGGCCATTTGAGGGTTTTGGTTTTTTCTCCCTTGCTGCAGATTCTTGGATTTTTTTTCTAGGCTGTTGTATTTATCTCCAGGAGAAGGTTATAGAGGAGGAGGAGGAAGGGGAAAGTGGGACATAAATAATATCATAAAACTCTTAAATCTCACTGTAAAACATCACTTTCCCACAAATATTACACACAAGATCTAGTAATCCTTATCTCTTACTTTATAGCCTAATCTCAACAAGTCGGATAAAATGCAGAAATTATCAGTTTTAGTTTTTGGATTTGGCACTTAAGTATTTAGTTATTTTACTATCTGTAGACCATCTCCTTTTTTTGGTATATGTTTATTTGAGATATAGATTTGCATTTATATGACTGTGTATGTGCAGAGGTGTGAGTACACAGATGTAACTCTTTGTAATACATTTTTGGGTGATATTACAGTCATGGTATCATAATATATGCTAAGTGGGAAGGGACCCATCAGGACCATTAAGTCCAGCTCATGGCTCCAGGACCTGTGTTCCTTTAGAGCATTGTCCAGATGCTTCTTGAACTCTGTCAGGCTTGGTGCTGTAATCACATCCCTGGGGAGCCTGTTCCAGTGCTCAGCCACCCCCTGAATGAAGAACCTTTCCCTGATACCCAACCTAAACCTTCCCTGACTCAGTTCCCTGTTTTCTTCTTGAGTCTCCTCACTGGTCACAGAATTGAAGAGATTGGTACCTGTCCCTCCAAACAGGAAACAGTAGCGTGAAAAGAAACAAAATCAAGCTGAAAATAGCTTGTCTACCTGAGTGACAGAGCTTCTAATGACTTAATGGAGCCACTTCTGGAAGAAAGATCTGACACAAAGTCAAGTTTAGAGAGTCCGTACATAATCTTTAATTGCACAGTAGGTCAAACAGGATCTAAGACATAATTGAACAGCAACCATTTAAAAATTATAATTTACATCTCATGGTGCCTAAGGGAATTTTTCTTCTTTACATAAACATATTTTTATTTATAATTATCTACTTGACAAAAAAGAGGTATATAATACAAGCTTATTGCTTACAGGAAATTTCAAGAATTGGAAATTTAATTTGATATTTCTTCAAGAAGCTGTCTCTTGAGAGAGTAATATCTTAAAACTACTCTGAAAAAAAACAGATAAACTTTTCTGCAAAATACATGGTGTAGCAATTTTCTCCTTAACCTTTAAAAACAAGCTTATAAAATTTAATGTTGTGATCTCATTTCTCTAGTACCTTTTAACAGCCTTACTTTGAAAATGGGCTGTAAACTGTTAACTTTCAATCCATCCTTATTTTTATCTTTTTTTTTTTTTCATTGTAGCAGGGGGCTAGAATGTGGGCCTACATACCAAATTTTGCTCTGTAATGCCACTTAGGTCCCTTAAATGTGAATTGGTTTTATTTCAGCTTGACTTGCTCATTTGCAAAAGATGAATTTTCTTTCCTGTCTGCAATATCATAACGTAAGCAGGATCTCTATGACAAGTGGCAGTTTTCAGTGGATTTATACCTACATCTTTAGCTATTTTCAGAGATTTTTTCCTCTTGGTTTCTTTCTACTCTTGGCTTGCTGATCTAGGAGCTTCAATTTAAGAAATATTGCTTACAATCCCAGTGTGCAACACAAAAGAAAGAATTAGTGACTAAACCATCAAAAAGCCTTTTGAAATTGCCTAAAATTGGTGGGGTGGGGAGAGGGGGAAGAATTAGTGAAATACTTACTTAAATACTGACTGATTGAGGAGAAAAGCATGATTTATCATAAGGTGTTTTGTTTCACAATACAATTTCATTGATTACTAAGTCTAGTCCATTGATTCTTTAGTGTAGCGGTGTTGATCATTTAATGTTCAATTTTAAAGTTTCCCAGTATAGGTCTTTCTCAAGAAGGTATAGAACATGTTAAAATATTCCATACTGGTCTCATTATATAAACTATTTGATTGATTAAAACAATTATTTGTACAGGAGAACTTAATGAATGTAAGTTTTTGTGTAGCTGGCAACATAGTGTTTAGCTGAAATGTGATATTTTTTTTTGTATTTTAAGTTAATTGACCTAACTCATAAATGCTAACATTCACTTTGCTGTCGTTACTGTCAGAGCCCAGATCTATGAACATTAAGACCTTTTTAGTGTGTGCTAATGAGCACTGCTGTTCATGCAGCCCCACCTTAATACTAGCAATAACTCATCAATGTCTTATTCCCATATAATCCATTTTGAAAGTGACATCTCTGTTACATTTATATTATACCTGCTTTTGTTGATTTCATTCTTCTCGTTCTTATTGCAGTACACTGTAATTAGCCAGCTTTTATTTTTCTGTAAACAGTCTTCTCTGTGGTTGGGAAGTGCAATCAAAGTGACATCTCAGAAATGAAGTATTTTTAGAAGATATTGTCTGTGCAAATAAACCAAGGGCCATGGCATGCAAATAATGCAAGCAAAAGAAAACAGTGTGAGGAATTTGAAGAAGAAAGGAAAAAGAAGAATTGTGTTTTTTAAAATTTAATTTCTGAATTAGTTAAATTAAATCTTATCGCTTTCTCAATATTCCAGCTTGCTTTTTGTAGCCGTTGCTTCCCGTGTTAGGATGTGAATTTCTAATAATAGATTTGTTTTGTCTTTGACAGCAACAATCGTGTTAAATGAACTCAACTGGACGGCAGCGCTGGATGATGTGTTCAAGAGGAACAGGGAGGAGGACCCCACGTTATTATGGCAGGTTTTTGGCAGTGCCACTGGCCTCGCAAGGTATTACCCAGGTAACTGAACTGTCCTAGACAGCTGTCCTATGCCATGTATTGCATTAAAAATATTCTGAATTAGCTGCGAGTAGTGAAATAACTTTTTTACGTAGGCACAGTTTCTTTATATCAGAATTACACACCCGAGGACTGTGAAATTATTTTGGCATAAAGGTAACATGAAGGGGAAGGAACTGGGAGTGAAATATGTAAGAACAGAAGATTATGTCATTTGAAAAGCAGAAGAGTATTTAATTTCATTTTTCTATTATTTTCTATCTTGTGTAGATAATCACTTGAATATTTGCAAGTGAGATTTTTGAACTTGTCCAGATTTAAGATAGTGACCTGGAAAGTAGACATATAGTCATGTTTAACATCAGTGAAAATGTGATTGCACCATGCTATGTTCATGTCTCTCAGAATCCACAACCTCTGACAGGTACATCTTTGCTATTAGAGCTGAGGTCAATTCAACTTGATTACTTCAACCAGCATCTGTTTCACCGAAGAATTTCATCACTTGATCACACTAATTAATTTAAATAGATGTATATTTTACTGAATTCAGATAATGAGTAGCCTGAATTTGATTTTTGTTGTTAGCTATGTAATGGAAAGCCTTGTTTTATGGCAAGACCTGTGCTGCTGCTGCTGTTAAGTGATGCTCTTATCAATGCCTGAATAATATGTCCACTACACACATAACAATTGTGTGAAGCATGTTGACTCATGCCTACAACTGCCTGAGGAAGAATTTTGAAAACCTTTCTCTTCTGTTTACACAAGATTGTTTGTGTTTCTGAGGGCGAAGGGGATTATTCTAAAGCTGTTATTGTATCATTATCACAAATGCTAGCACAGGCAGAGAAACTGCCTCAGGCTAGTTTACAGGAAGAATATTTCATAGCACTTGAATCCTGTTTGTTTTGTCATGCTGGATGATCATGAAATAAATACAGGGAGACGCTGCAGGAAGAAAAAAATATTGAAAATGCAAATTTATTATTTATTTTGTTTTCCTACTCTTCCAATGCTTTTGGGACTATCATCATGTGTGGAGCCAGAACTTGTAATGGCTTACTATGTGATGTTTCTCTAGTACTGAAAAAGAATGTTTCTTAAATACATCTCCCTGCCAATCTCTAGGAAATAATATTTCACTTGAAAATAAATCGCATATATTTAAAGATAAATTCTTCTATCTAGCTAACCTGTCTACTCCAGTCGTTCACCAGCACAACACAGGAGCCTCAAAATCTCAATGCATTCTTCCTTAGAACAGCTGTATAAAATGGGAGAAGCTTGTCTCTGTTTTGCAGGTGCAAATTTTCTTTGTATATACTTAATCTAAACACAATTTAAAATTTAATGTAAAGCCCAGATGTTCACATCTGCTATTTACTCTATAGCTAAGTATCTAACAGCTGCCTAATTCTGTCAGAACATAATTTCATAAATTCCCAAGTAATTCCCCAATTCTTAAATGCTGGACATTCATACACAGCGGGGAGCAGTCTGATACTCTGTAGGTTATATCTGTTGTTTTGTGCATCTGCTTTCCATTGTAGCTCAAAATGGAAAGCCTTTTGTATTTTAGATTTGTGTAATAGATCTTTGTGCCAGGTTCTCAATCCCTCTCTTGTTGTAAACTTCTTCTCAGTTTGCTGACACAGCAGGTGTTCTGAAAATTAATTCAGGTTTCATACGCTGAAGTGGATGTTTTTCACATTTGCATTTTAAAAATTATATTATAAGTTATAAAAAATTGCTTCATTATATTGATATTTGGTAAGCCTGTTTCAAAGTGATTAATTTTTCCATAGTGATGATATTTGTGAAAAAATTTGGAAATATCAAAACCCAAAATTAAAATGCATAGAGAAGTCTGCTCAGTATTATCTGGAACATACTCACCCAGTCTTTCTTCCCATATTTAAAAAAAGAAAAAAGATCTCAGTACCTCTAAGCTACAAAGGGTGTTTTCAAACAGAGTTTTTGTGTATTAATGATTTTGGTCTGATACTGTCCCACTGCTTTGAGTCATGGGTAAAGGGTACATCACTTCTGTTTTGAGGAGGCTCTTGGGCTGTCCTTTTCACCATAGCAACCAACAGCATGAAGGGATCTTTCTGTGAGCAACCCTGTGAGGAGGGAGTATGTGTAAAATATGAATGCTTGAGCCACCAGCTCCCCAGTCTTCCCCTGTCACTTGTGGATACATTATTTTCCTTTGACCTGGGGTGATGAGGCATTGTATCACTTTTAGCTTATGCCAAGATCCAGCTGCAGTCCCCGTTCCAGTGAGCAGCCGTATTTGGGGTGGGATGGGCTTTGGTCGGCAGGGATGGAGAACCTTTGCAGCTCTGCAAAGGTTTATAGAGGATTTTAGCAATGTTTAAGCCATTAACCATTTCCTTCTCTCACATTACTATCAATATTCTCATCAGTTTCAATGGCAGCATATTTTTGAAGAGAAGTGCTAAGCTCTGTTACTCTACTGGCAATCATCCATTTTGATATGAAGATGCCAAGAGCAATTTTGAGATTTCTATTAGCTACTCTATGAGCTCTGAAGAACTCAAAAGTAAACATCCATTTAATAAAAGAGCTGAAAATAAAAGCATATGAAGTCCATGAAACTTTTAAGAAACATGTAATATATGTTCATTCATATTTTTAAAGGCACAAATCACAAATTAGTCTTTCATCTATTCAAAGACCAGCCCTCAGTAATCACAGGCCTCTACCATCAAAAGGAAATTCTGGAATAATGACACCTTGTTCCCAGTGGAGGAGGTTGAGTTAGGGAATATTTAAACAACTGGACTCAAAGGAATACCAAGTATGTTTTCCAGAAACACTAAACTGGGATGAGCTGTCGACTCCCTCAAGGGCAGAGAGGCCAGTTTAATATAAAATAAACAGTTACACAAAATTTGGATATTTTATTATTTGTTTGGGTTTTTTTACATTTAATGATTCTTAACTACAGTTAAAATATGTCAAATTGTTATAACAAGTGAACAGACTGAATCATAAAATAGTCAATTCGTTGATTTTTTAAAAGATATCATAAATTTAATAATTTTAGATATCTTAAATTTAAATACATTTAATATTACTTAAAAATACTAGAAATTTCAGCCTTTTTCCTGCAAGCAGACAGTTTTTCATCTTAAATGTATAACTCAAGAGTAAGAGCCAGTTTTCAGAAGTGCAGTGAAAGGAAGCTGCATTTTGTGGGACTCTTTTATGCATACACTACTGAAATGCAGTATTATGAAAACAGTGAACAAAACCAGAGGAGTTTCTTAGGTAAAACTGTGAGTCACTAAATTTGGATTCTCTGTGATAGGGCAAGAGAGCCCAAATTATTATAAATGTTGAATCACTTTCTCCTTAGTAGTAGTAGCTGTACATCTACCTGCCTAATTATTTGACTTCATAAGTCTAATTTCAGAGCCCAGTATTGGTTTTTAAGATGTCATTTTAAGATGACACTTGACAAATTCTAGTCCAGACAGAGGGTTTCAGTAGTTTTTGATTCAAAATAAAAGCAGTAATCTGGCAGTGATTTATCAAGATTATTGAAATTAACAATTCACGCCAATCCAATTGAAACGTTTTCTTTTTTTTTTTTTTTTTTTTTTGTTTGTTTTGTATATATTGAATCCATTGCCTGTGGGCTTGCACATGTAGGGTTTTGTTGGTGCTATGTAGACAGAAAAGTATTTTAATATACATCAGGTTTCAGATTTAATTTATAATTAACCACAGAGCTCTGGACAAATCTGTTGCTCAAAAAAAAAAATTAATTTAATTAAAGTAGTTTAATATTATTTGACAGATATTAAGTTACTTGCATTTTGTGAGGCATCTATCCAGGTAAATGCTAGGTTTTAGAAAGCAGCTATCTAAAAGGACAATTTAATATAATTTTTTTGGTGGACTACTTGGAAGTGTAGGTATAAGGTAACCAGTTCTTCTTTTAATCATGAATTTGTTTTTAATTAAAGACATAATTAGGACTATAATTGTTAATCAATGTTTCATTAAAATACTCCAATGGGAGGCATATTATTTGCACTGTAACAATTATTAATTAAACAAACTTTAAAAACAACTTGGTATTTATGTGCCTTTTACCAGATACCATCTCTCTTTTGGTTCATTTTTTTAGGTATTTTTGGTTTGTTTGTTTGTTTGTTGGGGTTTTTTTTTTGTTTGGTTTTTTGGCATATTTGTTTGAAAGTATTTTTGGTTTTTTGGTTTGTTTGTTTGTTGGGGTTTTTTTTGTTTGGGTTTTTTTGTGTATTTGTTTGTTTTGTTTGTTTGTTTGGGGTTTTTTGTTTGTGGTTTTGTTTGGGTCTTTTTTTGTACTGCTGACAGCACACATTTATTTGTAGTTAAATATGATACAGGAGGCTTTCTAGTTACAGTAATAAATCTACTTAAGAAAAATTGATTGCATAGGATTACTCAAATGAAAACACAGTCCTGATTTAGATGAATGTTTAGTAAAAAACTGTTTGATCAGCAACACTGACTCAGCTCTCTGGAGGAAGTACACAAAATAAAAATTTTCCCAAGGGTTATTCTAGAAAGGGTAATAGTGATAGAGAGACTGATAGTACTGAGTTTCAGATTTCAGGTAGTGGGTTACAAATGTCCATTGGCAGTGGCATAATGATGCATGAGTAGATTCAACATGTTTTATGAGGAAATGCTGAACCTAGGCACATTGGGACAGTATTTGGTCTGCAGTGACCAAAGGTCTGAAGGTGGGAATGTGCCACACTTAGACAGGATCCCAAAAGTTGAGTCAATTCTTAACAAAAATAAAACTAAGAAAGACTCAGCTCTCTGGAGGAAGTACACAAAATAAAAATTTTCCCAAGTGTTATTCTAGAAAGGGTAATAGTGATAGGGAGACTGATAGTACTGAGTTTCATATTTCAGGTAGTGGGTTACAAATGTCCATAACAGTGGCATGATGATGCATGAGTAGATTCAAC